GTGGTAGAGTCAGCCGAAGTCTAATGATAACTTCTTCTTGTGATATGTCCCGCGAACACCTCATTGCACAGCAAAATGACACAGGTCACGAGGATTCGTCATAATGTCGAGACCGCAAGTTCGATTCCGCATCTTATTTGTAATACTTTTCACCACCCGAGCAACCATCGCCCAAGGCACCATCCGACTGGAACTGTGCATCATGATAGTTCATGTATGAAATCAATTGAGTTTGACGCTCTAGAAAATCCAGCAGTTGCAACTTAAAGCTTGGCAAATCGACGCATCCCTCCAATCCAGGCCTCCTGTCGGCCTGGCGCCCACAGCCGAGCAGCTCTTGGCGTTTCCACGTGTGCTGCCCCCCCAGGCCTGGAGGGATGGGACTTTAACATAATGAATTTAGCGGGGTTCAAGCACAGGCTGTTCCAAGCACGGGATGATGATGGTTGACAACAGTCAGCTCCTACGCTACTCGCAGTTTGCTGATCGGCAGGCGGCTGGCCTCAAAGCACATGACCCCGAACTGTGCGAACGGTGCGGTCATAGGACCACCCCTGCAAGGGGGCTTGCTGGGGATCGACGTCACAACATTTTTGTTCTTCGTGATCGTTGCAGTCGCTTTTACATTGAATCATTGAGGAGTCCGTAGGGAAGCTAATCGCATCCCCCTATTCTTAAAAAACGGACGGGGGGCTCCCCCACCCAATAGAAACTCGAAATGTGTTTTTAGTATTAGGGGGGCGTTTTTTATCCAAATGTCATGTTTGGGGTCCAAAGGGTTTAGGGTCTGGGGCCTAGGGTTTGGAGGGTTTCAGTAACTAATGACTCTAACCCTGAGTGCGTAGAGAGCTCCACTCAGGCGGCAGCACAGCAACCAACACACACACACACACACACACACACACTCAAGCAACCTTCCTGACAGCCAATACTGGTACCTCCGATCTGCGAGCCACATCAGCTTAGACAGGCTAAGCCTGCTGTCACTGAAGTACATCATGCTCCTGAATACCTCTGATGTTTCAAACTGGTGTTGACATTGCAATCTCCTGGGTGTCTTGGGGCATGAAGGTGAAATGACGATTTTGTACCAGACAGGCCAGACACAAGGAATGGCATGTGCAACCTTGATGAGATGATGCAAACATGAGGTAGGGTCCTGCCTCGCTGTACCAGACTCAGAGGAATGGTACAACACGAAATGAAGTGGACATGAACAATGAAGGTGAGGGCCCTGCCAGCTACTCTATACAGAGTCCAGGCACAGACCAATGCAGGTACGTTTACCTGGGGTGTGGGGCGGAGCTTCGATGGGCAGAGCCACCCCCACACCCCCTCTGCCCCCCTGCGCAAAAGAAATGAGGTCGACGGTTGAAACCCTTGGCTACAGGGTTGGACACACACACGAAGCCAAGAAGGCCAAGTTGCCTAAAGGTTTTATTGCACCGCTAGGATGCCTTGGGCACCTTTTACATCTGTGCCATGGACCCATGCGGCCCACTCTGCCGGCGCCTTAGGCGCACCCGCGGGACATGCACAACAGGACAAGCCAAAACTACCGCTTCCGACGACGGCGTTTTAAACGCACACGCTCGACGTCTGCACCTTTCGGAAAAAACGAATCCCGCTCACTGAGTTCTGATCGTCCTGTTGCCAGCTGTCGTAGCAAGAACTTCTTTTTTTCTGCCACTCACGCGGCTGCTGCTGTTGGGAGTTCCAGTTTTGTCCAGACCAAGACATGCTTGGAGAACAAAGGACGGGATCTACACCACTCGAAAAAAACGTCAACACCTGATGGCTGCAGGAGGGTAAGTCATAAAGACCTCTGATTTGCGCCTGAATACCACCGTACAACAAACAGCAAACAGCAAACAGCATCAACGGCCCTGCGCATCATCCAAGTCTGCAGGATGGGTCCCTGCTTCGTCATGACGAAATCTGCAGGATACTGCACGGGCCACCCCGCCGCAGGCAGCACTCTGAAAGACGTAGGGACTAGCCCTGCACTGCCTGGAACACACTCAAGCAACCTTCCTGACAGCCAATACTGGTACCTCCGATCTGCGAGCCACATCAGCTTAGACAGGCTAAGCCTGCTGTCACTGAAGTACATCATGCTCCTGAATACCTCTGATGTTTCAAACTGGTGTTGACATTGCAATCTCCTGGGTGTCTTGGGGCATGAAGGTGAAATGACGATTTTGTACCAGACAGGCCAGACACAAGGAATGGCATGTGCAACCTTGATGAGATGATGCAAACATGAGGTAGGGTCCTGCCTCGCTGTACCAGACTCAGAGGAATGGTGCAACACGAAATGAAGTGGACATGAATAATGAAGGTGAGGGCCCTGCCAGCTACTCTATACAGAGTCCAGGCACAGACCAATGCAGGTACGTTTACCTGGGGTGTGGGGCGGAGCTTCGATGGGCAGAGCCACCCCCACACCCCCTCTGCCCCCCTGCACAAAAGAAATGAGGTCGACGGTTGAAACCCTTGGCTACAGGGTTGGACACACACACGAAGCCAAGAAGGCCAAGTTGCCTAAAGGTTTTATTGCACCGCTAGGATGCCTTGGGCACCTTTTACATCTGTGCCATGGACCCATGCGGCCCACTCTGCCGGCGCCTTAAGCGCACCCGCGGGACATGCACAACAGGACAAGCCAAAACTACCGCTTCCGACGACGGCGTTTTAAACGCACACGCTCGACGTCTGCACCTTTCGGAAAAAACGAATCCCGCTCACTGAGTTCTGATCGTCCTGTTGCCAGCTGTCGTAGCAAGAACTTCTTTTTTCTGCCACTCACGCGGCTGCTGCTGTTGGGAGTTCCAGTTTTGTCCAAACCAAGACATGCTTGGAGAACAAAGGACGGGATCTACACTACTCGAAAAAAAACGTCAACACCTGATGGCTGCAGGAGGGTAAGTCATAAAGACCTCTGATTTGCGCCAGAATACCACCGTACAACAAACAGCAAACAGCAAACAGCATCAACGGCCCTGCGCATCATCCAAGTCAGCAGGATGGGTCCCTGCTTCGTCATGACGAAATCTGCAGGATACTGCACGGGCCACCCCGCCGCAGGCAGCACTCTGAAAGACGTAGGGACTAGCCCTACACTGCCTGGAACACACTCAAGCAACCTTCCTAACAGCCAATACTGGTACCTCCGATCTGCGAGCCACATCAGCTTAGACAGGCTAAGCCTGCTGTCACTGAAGTACATCATGCTCCTGAATACCTCTGATGTTTCAAACTGGTGTTGACATTGCAATCTCCTGGGTGTCTTGGGGCATGAAGGTGAAATGACGATTTTGTACCAGACAGGCCAGACACAAGGAATGGCATGTGCAACCTTGATGAGATGATGCAAACATGAGGTAGGGTCCTGCCTCGCTGTACCAGACTCAGAGGAATGGTACAACACGAAATGAAGTGGACATGAACAATGAAGGTGAGGGCCCTGCCAGCTACTCTATACAGAGTCCAGGCACAGACCAATGCAGGTACGTTTACCTGGGGTGTGGGGCGGAGCTTCGATGGGCAAAGCCACCCCCACACCCCCTCTGCCCCCCTGCGCAAAAGAAATGAGGTCGACGGTTGAAACCCTTGGCTACAGGGTTGGACACACACACACACACACACGCACACACACACACACACACTCACACACTCACACACTCTCTCTCACTCACTCACTCACTCACTCACTCACAGAGCGGGGAGAGAAGGGAGCTTCAGGATGTTGGTTGGTTTCAGGCTTTTGGGAGCCCTGAATCCCCCCCCTAATTCGGAATAGGGCTTAAAAGGCGGGGTCGGTTTCGGCAGGATTTTCCGGAAAGTGTCTTTGTTCTTGGGGGTACGTTTAATACAAGTGGGATGTTGTTAACTTGCAGCAACACAGCAAAGTGAAGTACCTGTCTGGACGCAGCAACCTGCGATAATGCACTACTAAGAAGTAATGGCTGTGCGAGCTTTTAGTCACGACCTTCAGGTGTAGCTTCGCATTCGTGGTGTAGCATTGACGTCCACAGCTGTGCGTGAATTTTGGCGCGAAGGCGTGAAGACCCGCTTGAGTTTCCGAGCGAAGACGCACAGGCGTGAAGACGCGGATCTTGAAAGGCAGACGCGAAGCGGCGAAGACACGAAGATGTCCACGGCGTCGGCGGCCATCAAGCAACAAATGGCGTCAGTCACCGGCATCGCCGGAAACCACGGTGTCGACTTTGTCAACGGCTGGCGCGGGTGATACGGACACTAGCCCAACCACCAGAGGGGCCCGTGGCATGTTGGATTACCTCTTGCAGTACAGCTGCTTTTGGCAACCACAGGGACGTCCATGCGTTCTTTGGGTGTAACAGGAAACAAACGTGCCCCAAGTGAGCGCCGAAGTGAAAAACTTGCGACGCAAGACTCAAGACACGCGGCTGGTCGCGTAAGCTGGCGAATCCTCCCAACTGTACACAGGAGAAAATTCGTCCTGAAGCCCTTTGAAAGTGCAGAAGCACTCGCCAAATGCTCACATGAGCGCTGCAAGCTGCAGACAGCGTACTAGAGCTCAAAAGTGGACATTCGTGTACAGTTTGAAGTCCACAAGCTCATGCGGCCTGTCCGAGAAAAAGCAGACATCTCTTTCAACGCAAAGCGTGGGCAATGCAAACACGGCTGTATCGAGTCTCGAAACATATGTAGGAGAAGGACGGTCACCCAAAGCAACCCAAGCCACCAAACCTCCGTGACAAAACCAGGCGAAATCCTCATGCACAGGGCAAACGTCAGTACGACGAGACAGGCCAGGTGCACTAGGAAACCAATTAAAGACCTCAGGCGGCACGGCAGTGAGTGATTCTGTCCCGCGGGTGCACGGAGTGCAAGAACCACTAAAACAGAAAAACCCAAAACCGAAAGCCCAGCGGTGCATTGAAATCGCGGGAGAGAGCTGAGAGCCAAAAGCAGGGTCAGCCGCACGGCAAGGAAGTGTAAGCTGACAAGAAACTTCAGCCCACACCCACCACATCAGCAACCCCCGGGCGGAGATCCTCAGCATCTTTTCTGGAGGCAGCTGGCGGGTTGGCATTGGCGGAACACTTGGACTCTAGAAGGAAATCCCTATAGGTCTCACTTGCTTTAGCCGAATTGCAAATGGCCTTCGCAGACCAAGCACGGGCGGTAGCAAGCTCCTTGTGCCAGGCAGCGCGCAGAGATCTAGTCCATCTGCGTTTCTGGGCAGCACCGGCCTGTTCATCGGCAATCTTGTTCAAGTTCCTGCACAAGGCGGCATCATAACCCCAATTTGGGGACCATTTGTCATGCCGGTCGTGTGCAGGGACCCACATAAAGCGAGTGGTGAGGCCAGACTCCTTAGCGGCGAGGAAGTTTTTGGCAATTTCTTCAAAGAGAAGCGGAAGGGCACTCCGCAAAGGACTTTCGATGGCGCGTAGAGCACTCTGGCAATCCACCAGCACAGTGACATTGCCAGCAACTTTGCCCACAATGGCAGCAAGAGCACTGGCAAGCACTTGGAGGGCACAAGCCTCGGAACGAAAAGCAGATTGGTCTTCATCATCGTTTCCAGAGGCGTGAGAGTGGATTCCTGTGCCCGCACGGATAACGATTGCATATCCGCCAACGTCCTCGAACGAGGAGCCATCGGTCGCAACAAGGATCTCGTCAGTGGTTGTGAGGGCACTGTAGAGGTCAGCAGCAACCTCGTCACGGAAAACATCCGCGTTTGGACCGGAAGGGGCAGGCGGGAAAGGCTTCAGAGGGGGAGCAAAAAGCCTCTCGCTGGCACGGTCGGTTGGGGGCGGGAGCCCCTGTCTAAGAGAAGCAGTGACAGGGCAAGTCCAAGTGAGGTGCGGGCGTGATGGGAATTTGCTGCCACAAGCACAAGAAGCAGCAGGGTCCTCTGGAGTGACAGTACGACACTTAACAGGGTTATGATACCAAAAGCTACCCCCCGATGCAGCGGCGGCACGTTTTTGGGCCAAGGTCCCCAAGCCGAAGAAAGCAGCCCGGTGAGCAGCAAAGTCGAAGGAGTGGCCTGTAGCGGGCGCAGGGAGGTCCAGACCACGAGCACAAGCCTCCTCGTCACGATGACCCCGCCGTTGGACCCGACGACACTGATACACGCCATCATCACGAAAAGCAGCGGTTAGCCACGACTTCAGGACGCTTATGTTAGAGAATCCAAACTTGAAAACACGCACACCATTAGCGTCGCACCGCGTGATCCCGCTACCCCCGGGCAGAATGGACCACCCCAAGCGATGTACAGCGTCGCGAGCAACAGGCATGACGTCAGGCCAGGTAACGAAAGCCTCATCAAGTGGAAGGTCATCGTACCAAGAGGGCCGTCTGACGGCGAATCGGTTTGCTACTTGCAACGCTGCAAAATCACAGGCAAACTGAGGGGACGACTCCCAGCCCAGGATCTCGTGCATAAGGAAGAAAGGGACTTCCTGTTTGAAAGCGCCACGGAAGAGAGCAGAGATCTCGTGTTGGATAGACCGAAGAATTTGTGGCTCAGGCATAGCCACACCGGCACACCACGTGAAGCACGAAAAGGCCATGCTGCGAATGAGAATGACTTTGCGGTGCAAGGAGATAGGAAGACACTTGAGGAACCTCACACGGAAAAGGACCTTGTCGAGGATGAGTTTGAGTGGTCTACCTTCAAGGGCCTCGACATCCAACGCAATGCCTAAGAAGTCAAGACGAGCAAGCTCTTGGTACCCACGTGCCTGAGCAAGGCCCCCCAGTCGGCCCTGTCCGGGTACAGTGACGTAGGCACATTTATCGCGCTCACAACGCAATTTGAAAGTGCTATCAAAATGGTCGGAGCGCGCAAGAGCGATTGCAGTGCTTTCAACGGGGCACGAAGCTTCTGGACGCGGCCAAAGAAGCCGGTCGTCGATGAAAATGAAACCACGGACATCGCGGGACAAAGAGTGGTGGCTCCAGGCATGGCCGACCGCTAGAGCGACTAATGGGGAAAAGGGGCACCCCTGTACGAAACCCCGAGAGACCCCGACCCAACCCCCAGCCACAAAGCGCCCAACTTTGAAGAGGCGGGTTGGACAGCGATAGAAACTTTTCAGGACGTGGGTTAGGGCATGAGGAGCTCCTAAATGGGCTAACACAGGGAGGACTGCGGGTAAAGAAAGGTGATCAAAGAAGTTTTTGAGGTCCTGTTGGATAAATTCTTTGGCGCCCTTTAAAATCGCCGCAGTGATGCGTAAGTGCGCGTCGGCGCACGAGGTGCCCGGGGCGCCTCCAAAGGCCAACGGCGTGATCCACTGATGAATCCAAGGCCTCAGCTTGCCTACGATGGCACGTGCGCCGATGCGCCACACGATCGGGCAAAGGCCCAACGGTCTTGTGTTGACCACCTTTTTAGGGATGAGAGCAACTAGCGCGCGAGACCACGTGAGAGGTACTGGAGCGCCAGCAATAATGCTGTTCCAGATTTGGGCTAAATTAGCCCACCAGTTGAGAGGCAAGCGGGCAAGGTCGTCGGCGCTCCAGCTATCATGGCCCGGAGCCTTGCCAGACATGTGCTTAGCTTGCCGAACTAAGTCCTGGGGCTCAAGGGTAAGCATGATTTCAGAGGCAGGGCACGCCGGTACATCCTTCAAGATGTCATTGATGTCATCCAGCCTGACAGGGTCATCTTCAGGATACGTCCACAATTTCTCCCACTTGGGGCCGTGCTCTTTCAGCACAGAAATCGGGTGAATGGCAGTTGCGACGTCCGTGACAGGCAGGGGCCTGGCTTGGAGTTCCAAAGCGAGATCCGCACGTCGACGAAGCCAAGCGACTTGCTTGTTCGGGGATTCTTGGACCATGCATTTCCAACGGAAGATGCGGGCTTCCTTTTCAGAGGTCACGTAGCTATCATATAGGTCCTGCACACATTGAGCAAAGTGCTCAAGCTGGGCCAAAGGCATGTGAGGCAACTCTGGCACTAATTTGCGCAGGCCACACAGAGAGGCCGATATGTTAGCGCGTAAACACGGATCGCAGGGATCATGGGAGAGTTGGACCAAACGGTTACGCAAGCGGCGCAAACCTTGCGTGCCGCGGGACTCCTGGCCAGAAGTAGCAGTCCTAGCGTGCGGGATTTCAGAATAGCCACGAGGCTCAAAGGCAGAAGAACGAGGAACAGCATGGTGGTTGGAGTGGGAGTCAGGGTCCTGCAGGGCTTGCTCAGCCGTATCAGAGAGGAGACGCCAGGCCATCTCCAGGTCATGCGACTGCAAAGCTCTATCAAAAGCTTCCTGTGACCAGCAAGCTGTCCACCTAGCATGGTCAGTGCAAGCGTCAGGTGTGCGCAAGGCGGAGCGCTTAGGCAAGACAAAACCCCGAAAACACGACGAGAGGTCTGGGTGTAGCACACCGAAACGTGATCCCACGGTCCCTCTATATGTGAAACCTCAGAGGCAGAGACCCTGAAATCGGACACAGCAAAGTCAATGCGGCGCGTACGACGAGGGTTGGTGCACGGCAAAGCGAAAGGGAAAGCAGAGTCCAAGCAGTTCAGTGAACCCTCACATGCGTGACGAGCAATAGCACCTTCATCGTCAGTGGCATTCCAGTCCCCAAAGAGGACAAAACGTCCACCAAAGGATTTGGCAAAAGCCACGAGGGCATCGACTAAGGCATCCGTGGCATGTTGATCCCCTGGGTACCCATAGGAGGCAACCACTAACAAAGGGTACAAGGCGTCTTGGATGGAGACTTGTATCAAACCTGCTGCCGCACGGGCAGAGACAGTTGAGGGCAAAAGAACCGGTCTGATAGGGAGTCTAGAAACAAGGCCAACCCTATGCTTCTGGGAGCCAACTTCAGGGGAAGAAAGGACGAGGCTGCAACCGGCCCTGCGCCACTCCTTGGTGTAGGCCACGGCTCCAAAGGCATGCACATCAATTTCCTGCAAAGAAATCAGGTCGGCAAGATTGTTATTGATGAGGTCAAGCGTGGCCTGAACTTTAGATGGGCCATTGCAGTTGACATTGCAAGTGAGGAGGCGAACTCGGGGGTCGCGCATCCTACGTGGGTGCTGAGCTTTAGATTGCGAAGTCACACCGAAGGCAGCGTCCCGAAATCCAACCCCTTAATGGCCTTCAAGGCAGTGTCAAAGGTTGCCTCTAAAACACTGGTCTCAATGCCATACTTGAGAGGATAACGCTTGCACCAGGCACGCACCAGGCCAAGCTTGCGGATGGCTTGCTTGTTGGAGTGGAGGCCTCGCCCACAGTGAGGGCCATGCGCGCTAGCGTCGGTTGAGTTGTAGAGGCATCGCATGCACCTAGAGCAACGCCACGCCTGCTGCATGGAGACGGCCTTGGACTTATTCTTCCTTGTGCGGAAGATGGGCCAGGTGAAAGGCTGCATTCCCCTCTTTATGAGCTCAATGCGGTCACGAAACTTCTCAGCAATTGCAGCATTGGCTTTTCTGACACGGTTCGTCTGGGACCTGGATTGGATGCCAAGTGCACGTTGATAATCCACATTGGGCATGTGAGGGTGGGCTTTCTTGAGGTGGTTACGACAGATAGCACGCACGGTGCTAGGGGCGAGGGCCTTCCCGAAGGCCTTGCGCATACCGATGTCGCACTCGGGGCACTTCCAGTGGTAATGGTGCGGAGCACCAGGGAGGCTTTCAAGGTACTCAAAAGATCGCTTCTGGCTCTGATTCAGTCCAGCACCATTGTGGAACCCGGTCAAATGCTTCCACCTGACAGTATGGAGGCTGGTGGGCGTAACCTTGGCAGTAAATGAGCACAAATCGCAGCGGAAAAGACCAGACTTGGTGATTTTGAGAGGCTTCTGCCATCGAAAGGGTTTACGCTTGGGCGCAGGGGCAATAGCCGCTCCCTCGCAGGGCTCTACGAGGTGAGTGGCATCGCTTTTCGTGGACTCTGGGCAAGATGCAAAACCACGTCTAGACCCACAACCCGACTTACCAACTGAACAGGAAATGGAGGCAGCAGGCACACCTACAGGCAAAATCTCTGCATTGGCACCATCCACGTCCAGCAGGATTGGCTTCTGGCTCGCGCTTTTGTCGCAGGCTTGTCGTTTTGAGCAGCGAGTGTCAAGACTGGCAGAAATGCAAGAAGAAGCTCGTTTGCGAGGATAAGAAACCGCTAACGAACTTGGGGCTCGTTTCGGGTTTGCCTTGGCAGCGCTGGCAGTCTGGCAGCTGGCTTCAGACATGACCGAAGGGGCTCGCCTGCGCACAGGTGTGTTGCACGAAGAGGCTTGACTACTTCTACCACCAGCCCGAAGGCCTAGGACCGGGCCGGCGCTGACCTTAGCGTAAGTGTCCGGGTATTTGGCTCCCACCTTTGGAACAAGCAGGTCGATGTGCTTATCTGTGTACCAGAGCACTAAGGTGCGAGGAGCTTTGCAATGCACAGCAATAGGCGAGAAGTCAACGCCCTGCGGCCACACTACGATTTTGACGTTGTAGATCCTGGCTAAGGCAATGAGTTCTGCCTCCCCGAGGAACACGCCGTTCTTTTCAATCATGCTCATATATTGCTGGAAATCCGTGGCTGACTTCTGTCCACGCGGATCCAAACCATCCCACTCTTTTTCGTATCGTTCATGCTTGAGCATGTGCGTAACAAGCTCGGCTCTGATGACTCGCGGGTGGGCAGGCTGTGGTTCGCCAAGGAATTCCAAACCTTTCTGCACAGCATGTAGCATGCAATTCCCATCCTTGGGACACTCAACCAACTTGAGGTCCTCGGGAACAGGTCGTACCTGCTGGGCCTGTCTCTTCGGGGCAGACTCAGGCTTCTGTTGTTCTCCGGACTCAGCGGGGAGCTCAACTGACTTCGCAGCTACTGCCGGGGCCGGAGCAGCAGGCATGACCGGAACAGTGAGAGTACGGACAGGTCGCTGCTGGACTTGTTGTGGCCTGCTTGGGGCATGGGTAGCCCAAAGGGTGACATTGGCGCCAAGGTGCTCAACCACAACAGGGATAAGGTCACAATCTCCATGGCCTGCCTTAGGTTTGGCTCTAAACCTAAACGAAACCCACTGTTTCTGCCGGCGGTGGCTGAGCAGTTGGAGGTCTTCAAAGGACTCGGCCAATAGCTGCTGAACAGCTCGCTGATCCCATGAGGCTGGGACATCAGTGATCTGCCACACGCGACGGGTTGCCTCGCCGTTTCCCAAGGGTCTGCGGAAGCCAAGGCGGCCACCGGACACGATCAGCCCAAGGCTACAGGACAAGTTTGCAACTCTCTCTAGGTAAGCTTGCGGTTTATCGCCAGGAGCCTTGTCAACCCATTCAACAGCAAAAGGTGGGCCTATTCCACGAGGCGTCGAGAGGAAAACCCCATTGCGACCCGATACAGCCATCAAAGAAGTTAAGTCCTCTTCAGGGATTCTTGCCAAACCAAAGAAAGTCTCAAACTCGCCGTCCCTAGATTTCTCACGCACCCACCCGAAAGTGTCTAAGGCCTGAACATGATGTGAGGCGATCCAGGTTAGGGCGGCCCGAGCCGGGTTCTTCTCAAAATCGGTCCACAACTGCTTGTCACAGAAACGCTTGGCGGCCTTAATGAAGGCAACAATGCTCTTGGTAGGGTTGATTTTCACAACCTTGCTGCCTATCCCCTTCGGATGAGGAGCGGCCCCCAGGTTGCCTTCGGACACACACTGCACGACACGCGCTTGCCGAAACACTAGGCGGTCGCCAATCCTTCCGGGGATCTTCTGTGTGTCGGTCTTAGTGCCCTCCTCCGGGAGATGGACAGTGGTGACCTTATAAGGCTTCGTGGCTCCTCGAAGTATGGAGTGCACGGATTGGATCTGAGCAGCACTGGCAAACACAACCGCTTCAACCGACTGACCGGTAGGGGTGTCATCAACAAACTTGCCGAAGGACTCAAAGTTGACCAGTTGTCCTGACCAATCCTGAGCTCGAAGTTGAAACTCGCCCTGTGGTTGCTTGCGTGCGACGACCTGCCACCCTTCTTCAGGCTCAAATGCCTTGTGCGCCTCACTAAGCGTGGTACCCTTGCCATGCCCCTTGCCTTTGTTTTTGTCCTTGCCAGGTGCGACGTAGACTTGGCGAGCAGGAGGTTCAGCAGGGGTTTGTCCCGTAGCTGTCGTTTCAACCTGCTGTTTCTTCTTGCGTCGCTTGGATTTGGCCTGTGAAGGAGCGTCGTTGTCAGCAGGTCGTTTGTCTTGTCCAGATGCAAGCGTTGCTGAACCATCTCGTCCCGAAACTCCCTGGTGGGGCAAAGCTTTGGCAACTATCGCAGTCCAATCGATGCTCGCCAAAGCGATCTGCAAAGACTGCGTAACCGTATTTTGCACCATCTCTTGGATTTGTTTTCTGGTTTCCTCATCAAGAGGGCCAGGGTTGGATGCTTCTCCTATTCTCTGGGCTTTGAGTGGATCAAAGCTAAAACACACAGTGGGGAGTAGAGCAGTCAAAACTGTCCATCCCTCAAACCAGCCCCTCGGAAGCTGACCGAAGAGCAACATGTTGTACTTATCGTGAATCAGGTAATCGGCCTCGAGGCACTGGTCGCCGAACGCAATGTCCGCCCGGGTGATCGTCTCCTTCAGGTAAAGGAACTGGCCGCTCCGCGCTGCCGCCACGCCCACTGGGATCTGTATGTCCTTGAAGAGAATCGGCTCATTGGTGACGAGGTTCTGGCCGCCTTCCCCAGCTGCCCAAGCCCCATCAGGCTGTTTAAACCAATCCTCCATGTCCAAGTCCACATCGCCTCCATAGTCCGCCATGGTTTGCCAGTACGAGTCTGGCCTCTTCTCTTCAGCAAGGCCTGACGCCTGCCAATTGTCCCTCCATTCATTACTGCTGTCACAAGCACTGAGCCAGCCAGCGAAGCCAAGGCCCCATCTCGAGGATCCAGTCCAGAGCATGCTGCCAGGAACCCCAACACCTTTCCAAATCTCAGCCCACTGCCTAATTGCAGACGGATCAGCGACTTCAGCCCAGGCCTCCACAAGCCTGCCAGGCTGCTGCAAGAGATCTCGGAGAAATCTCTTGCTTCCCCCCTTCGCGAATCTCACTTGGCCAAGCCACTTTGGGTAGGAAATGGCGCTTCTTTCCTCGAAATGAGCCCTCATGGCTCCCAGCTGCTTTCTCATCCATCGCTTCCAACCACTCATCGTGCCTCCGGAGGATGGTGCCATGGCTCGCAAGACACCTACCAGCAAGACCCTGTTGGCCGCCTGCTAACCCCCAGGCGTTTTCAGCTTGGAACTCGGGAAGTTCGAGTCTTGAGCCCAAGCTCATGCGTTCTTTGGGGGAAGGGATGCCGCTGTACGCGTACGTGACACACGGCGCTGCCAGCCATGTCTCCCTTGTGAGTTCAAAAATTAACCCTGACACTCTGCCTTTGAACCCTAGACCGCACCCTGAGCGGATTAATAAGGTGTGGCGTCGCTGTCCAAGGGATAATCGGGGTGTTTTTGGTCTCTGAACGAATGAACAGTAGTGAGAGTAGCCGTCACATTGACCCTCAACATCCAGCAGCCTTGTTTGATGAGATAGAGGGACATCAGGAGTTTCAAGCTTTCCGAAAGACGAGCTTCACTGACAGTAGCAGGTGACCTCCTCCTGAACGGCTAGCTTAGGGTTTAGGGTTTAGAGTTTAGGGTTTAGGGTTTAGGGTTGGGGTTTAGGGTTTAGGGTTTAGGGTTTAGGGTTTAGGGTTTAGGGTTTAGGGTTTAGGGTTTAGGGTTTAGGGTTTAGGGTTTAGGGTTTAGGGTTTTTCGTCAACCTGACTAACGTGCTGCCTACAGATGCGGCTGGTGCCGGGGTTGTCAAGACAAAACACCGCGAGGAATCCAGACTTTCGAGGTTTCTGCGTGTTCTGCGGTCAAGCAAACCTGCCACCAACGTTCTCTTGGCAGCACATAGCTAAGCCAGTTCGCCTTGACCTATTTCCCGGGCAGTGTAGCCCCTAACCTGCCTCGAGAAGCCCTGAACCCTTGCGTCTGTGTTTAGCTTCCCAGACGGCCTAGAACCTAGAGAGTGGGCTGAGGGATTTTGGATTTAGAGTGTCGGGTTTGTGGGGGATAGGCCATCGTGGGGCTCTGGGTGCCATTCTGCGCTCAGGTGTAAACCAGGGCAGTCTTTCTGGATTTGAGCTGTGCCCGCAGGTAGCTGAAGTGCATGCGAGGTTAGATCGGAACTCTCTACACCCCCCTTCCCCAATGAGTACACTCCCTGAGCTCCTTTAAGCATGCGCATGGGGGAAACCAAGCCAACCCAGCTATGTCTCGTGACCGCTCTAGACCTCACAGCACTTGCTGGAGTATCAATGCGCCCATGCCAGAGCTGAGTCCAGGGAAGCCGCCCTGGACAAGAAGTTTGGCATCGCAAACCATTTTTCCCGACAGGCAAGATGAACTTTTGGAGAACCTGTCGTTGAGGGGCTGGCAGCTACTAGCACTACGCTGCTCTGCTCCACTCAATGTGTTGGAACGGGCCCATGGAGCAAATCTCCAGCCTCAGCCCAACGGGCTGTTCAAGCTCAGACTCAACTTCCTTTGCGCAGAGTCTCGCGGTGTGTTGCTCCTTTGACGATGCGACATTCCAGCACGATCTTCCCCCCAAAGCCAAACGGCTCCAAAAGCAGTCATGAGCAATGCCGAGCAACCGCCGGCAGCTTTTCCAGGCTTGCGAGAGAGCGAGCTTTCCAGTGTTCCAGGCCATTGGCATGGCAGACTATAAGAAACGGGGTAAGCTGCAAGCGTTGAGCAGTCCAGATCCTGAGCGAGATGTCCGACATCTAAAGTCGCTCAAAATCATGCCGCTTACCTGTCAGTTGGTGCTGCTGCAGTGGTCCTGAGGATTTTATCAAGTTCGAATCAGCCCGGCACATCAATGCAGTAGCAGGGCTTTTGCAGACTAAAAAGTTTCTGCAGCAGCTAGTTCGGGCACGTGGATCAGCAATTTAAGGCTGGTGAGTAACATCAGTATTGCTTGCAACTTGCGATGTTTTTTTTGTCAATGTGCTTCTCACGCTAGTTGGTCCGCGGAAAGGTTACTCAGTACACAAAGCAGCTCGGACCTCGCACACAATCTTCACAGGTTACCAAAGCAGGGCAAAGCTAGGATCCTGAGCCGTCTACTCCTCGAACCCTAAACCCTTAACCCAGTGCTTTCGGGATATCGGGCGAGGCCGGCCAAAATTTTATCAATGGTGCCAGGGGTGGAGTCGAGAATGTTCTCGAAGAACGCAGCAGTGACAGCGCTGTCGAAGAGATCTAGCCCATTCCCTTCCTCGATGCTTCTCCTTCGTTTTATGGACTTCAACAAAGAACTCTGTGTCCAACTCTTACTTTTTTGGACTTCAGCGATACAATTTATGGAATGGATCCCAGCCGCTCGGTTTCTGAACTGACGTCCGCCTTCTATACGCAGTCCGGCCCCTCGATTTCGCATTTGTTATTTGTACTTGTTGATGTTTGTTTTAGAGGGGGGGGGACCCTGATGTGAAAAACCAACAAAATTGAGAGATTCTGGGACGGCGGAGGGCGCCCTGGATTGTTTAAAACCCTAATCCCTAAGCCCTAATTTAGATGAGGTACTGCTCTCACTTGAATCCACTATAGTTCGCTGTCACTGTACACACTTGGCAGAGCAGTGCTATGAGCCTGCTTGAGGCATGAGTTGGGATGTTCCCCCCTTCTACGAACAGCTCCTTAACAGGGATGTTATACTACCCCCTATTGTAATAGGGATTATAGTACCCAGAAATTGTACCGGGGATTAGAGTACCTCTTATTGTACTAGGGATCATAGTCTGGATTCTGGTAGTCCCTATTAAGCGCTGGGCTGTATGTATAGGGGGGGAACGTTTCCAAGGCATGAGTTAGGCTAGGGCGGTGTGGCTTGCGTGTATCAAGCTGCTCAGCCGAGTCAGATTCATGATGCTACGGCTCAGCACCAGAGGCGGGACGTGCCAAACGCCGCCCTATCTGGCTTTTGTCAGACGAAACAGCACTGCAGCTGAAGCTTTTGGTTTAGGGTTTAGGGTTTAGGGTTTAGGGTTTAGGGTTTAGGGTTTAGGGTTTAGGGTTTAGGGTTTAGGGTTTAGGGTTTAGGGGATCCTGGATAAAGCCTCAAGAACACCAAGCCCAAGCCCTTGCGTGCACTTGGCCAGCTTGAGGTGATCAGCTGTCCAAGCAGATTCAGGACCTGAAGGCTCCGCGACCCACGCCTGAACCCCACACCCCCCTAAAAACCCTAAACCCTAAACCCTAGCCCTAAACCCTACCTAAACCCTAAACCCTAAACCCTAAACCCTAAACCCTAAACCCTAAACCCTAAACCCTAAACCCTAAACCCTAAACCCAGCGCCAGGCCGAGGAACGAACGGCTGCCGCGCGGTCACGGGAGCTGGATCGGGAGGCGCTTATTCTGGCGAGTTCAGGAGTTTCGGGTTGAGGGTCTGGAAGATTTAGGGCGGGTTTTGGGGATTTGGGGGCTGGGGCGGGGGGGAGTTATGATGAAGAAAAAGGATCCAGGCATCATGTAGGGTGTATGCAAGCGATCTTTGAATGAGCAGTCAAGCGAATCGCTTGTTTTCAGCAGGAGAAAGCAAGAGAGCACGTCAGTACTTAGACAAGGCTGGTCGCAGACTTCGTAACTCATCCCAATCTGATTGCCACTTTCGAGAGTTGAACCTCAATTTTCTTCCCAGAGGCCACAGTCGCAGTGATGAGCCTATACGTGGCGACGACTAAGTCATTTCCGTCGCGGAATGAGTCGCAATTCCAAACTCTGGAAACCTGGGCTACCCTAAACCCTAGACCCTAAACCCTAAACCCTAAACCCTAAACCCTGTGCTGTAAGCTTGCCCGAAAAGGAGTGAAGGGTTGTTAAAAAAAAAACCCTAAACCCTAAACCCTAAACCCTCATCCCAAACCTGAAGGCCCAAGCTTACTCTGAAACTCGAAGCATCCCCAAGCCGAAGCCACGGGGGTTGGTTGTAGGATGGAGTGGCAAGGCTTCGGGGGGCTGCCAGGGGCCATCACCAGCCTAGAAAGGCTGTCAGGGACTTATAGGCTCATAATAATTTCAAATAATAAATACTAATATGACTGATAATCATAATATTAATAATACGGTTGATGGAGGAAGTCTTGCACCACCTAGTGAATAACAGGTGACACGACACATGAGCATGACCCCGCACCCCCTTTTTAATATTGACGATGACGGATACCGAGGTGGTGCAAGATTTTTGTCATTGGAACCCACGGCACTTTCGAGGATCAACAGTCAATATTAAAAAAGGGGGTGCGGGGTCTCTACTTTGCTTGGCCATTTAAAGCGGTGCAAGATTTCCTCCATCAACAGTAGCAATAATAATTAAGAATAATAAGCATAGTAGTACGATTAAAATAAATAGTTAAGAAAAATAAAAATAGTAGTATTACTAATACTTAAGAATAATAACAAATAATAGTACTACCAAGAATAGCAAGAATTTTAATAGGAATAATAATAACAAACATATTAATAATAAAGCATACTCAAAATAATAGTAATAATACAAATAGTAATCATACTGATAGTAATAATAGTAATAATAATAGTAATAAGAATAACAAGAAGAAGAAGAGAAAGAATGATAATGATGCTGGCGCAGGTTCATGGCCTCGTCGGCATCCCGGGCCTACCTTAGTGTGGACTTGTCTTTGAACGGCGTGCTTTGGGCTACCCCCCCGTCCGGGTTTAGGGTTTAGAGTTTAGGGTTTAGGGTTTAGGGTTTAGGGTTTTGTGAGGTTGAGGGGGCTTGGGCTTGGGGCTTGGATCGTGCTTTTCGGGTTCAAAGTAGGTCTCTGAAAGTTTTGTCCACCGGAATATGATCTGCTATGAGGCCCTTACTTCTGCCTTGAAAGTTTAGTTTAGGGGCCCGCATGCTCCAAAGCATTGAACCCACCACTTATGCCCTTAAAGTCTGTCTGTGAAGTCACAATACGGGAGGTTTAAACAATAGGGGCGTAAGCACCGCTTTATGCATCTTTATACCCCCCCAAATATTCCAAGACACCCTGACAAGAAAAAGGAATGGAACCCTGATTTCTGTACCTAAGCCCTAAACACTGCCCTTAACAATCAAGGAAACCCCCCCCCCCCCCCAACGCTCAGGCCAGCGGTTACGAGCGCTACAAGCGCCTTTGCTTCGTCTACACTGCGGCCCTGCTCAGGCCAAACCCTAGAACCCAACCCTAGAAACCTTAGTAAGAACACCTTACGCAAGCTTAAACGAGCCCCCCAAAAAACCCAAACAACCTGAGAGCCCTTAAGTTTCGTGGTTCTGCATGTCAGGGTTTTTCTTGGGGTGCGTTGGAGCCGGACTTGCCACAAGCCCTGCACCTTCGGGTCTTGAAGGGTTTGGGGCTTGGGGGGCGCTGCAATAGCTGAAGCTGAGGGCTTAGGGGAGGCTCGGGAGTGGCCCAAATTTGCCAGTGAATCTGCGGCTTCACTCAACGCTATGTTGCCGCAGCTGCATTGCGGCATGGGAACTGAGTATGTCTCGAAATCGGCGGTTGAGGGTTGAGGGTTTAGGGCTTCGGGTTTCTTTCGCTGCCTCTTCTCCCCTCAACCCTTTGGCCCCGTGCACCATATGCCTTTTTTCGCGAGGGCGCCGAAGCTCAGCCAGCAGCTGCAGGAGCATCGCCTATTAAACCTGTGTGCAGGGGTTTAGGGTTTAGGGTTTAGGGTTTCGGGTTTAGGGTTTGACCCCATACCCTAAATGGCTCTCGAATATGGCTGAGGCTCGAGGCGGAAACTATAGACTGAATACCACGAGAGCATGCCCACGCCCCTTGCCATGAACCCTAAGGTAGGGGTTTGGGGTTTGGGGTTTAGGGTTCGGGGGTGACAGCGATTATTGTAGTGAAAGTATTCCCAGTTTGGGCTTCATGTGATCCCCAAGGTTGTTACGGCAGCTCAAGCAGGGCGCACTCAAAGCAGCGCATATGTCCTACACTTCCTGGCCTTAGAGCTTAGGGTAGCCCCCCAAACCTAAACCCTAACCTTAAACCCTGCCCATCATTCTTCGGCTAGTTTCATGGGCCGTTAATATGGTCTCATACCTCCTTTAAAGGGTTCTGAAGTATGGGCCCCTAATATAGGGTATATAAGGTTATACAAGGGGTGCCCTTTAAAGGGCACATACTAAGGGACCATGTAACTACACTTAGAACCTAAACCCTAACCTTAAACCCTGCCCATCATGAAGTCTTGGGTTGTCATGCTCTTCGTTGAGAGGGGACCTTGAGAAGTGCAGGAGGACACGAAGCCAAAGCGAGGCCAGCACTTGCCGCGCAACTGAGGGTTACGTCTATTTGCTTCAGAACCCCCCCCCCGCCCTCCCCCCGCCCCCAAAAAAGACAGAAAGACAATAATCCGTATGTTACCCTTAGAAGGAGGAATCTCTTTTTTGCGGAGGGGCGGGGTGGGGTGTTTCTTAAGCAAATAGTAGGCTAGAGAGGTTCCCGGGCTCAGAAAACACGGAATATGAGGTTGTCTTTCACAAGCGTTCCTTAGACCATCACACTCGTCTTTATTCAAAGTGGAAAAAGGGGCTGCAGTCGCGCCTCCTCACATGCTCACACAGGAAGATGCCAGAAAGGCCCAAACCCCGTAAGCCCCGCAAATGTCTAGTTTCAGGATAGGGATTGTTGGCCCATAATGGTAGTTCTCTAAATTAGGATCCCCTTTTTGGATCCTCATCATAAGGGCGCCCTACTATACAGGGGGCCCAAAAAGGCACCCTAGTTTAGAAGACTATCCATCTGCATTGCCAGGCCTGGACGCCTTGATCCAGGCTTTGGCTAGCCGCTATGGCTGGCCGGAGGCAGGGAGAGGGGGGGGGGGGGGAGGGGATCCATCCGAACCCTACCTTCTGGTAGAGTTTATGGACTTTGTTACATATGGGTGGTTCTCAAAATTGTGATCCCTTTTGGGGTACCCTAAATATTAGGTGCCGTATGATAATGCTCCAAAAAGGGACCATAATTTTGACAACCACCCATGTAGATTATATAGATACCCGGATCGTGTTAGTAATGGGTCTGCTGCGTTTTGGGGGTTGATTCAGAATCCGAGTCTTGCTTTATGCGGGGTTGCGGCATGTGTCCCAACAGCTGTCCTTCATTGCGCACTCAGAAAGTTCTGAAGATAAGAATGAATGCTATATCGATACAACCAGACCAGTATGTACTGAGCATTTAATCGAAAAATATTTATAATTAGGGGGGGTCTAAATCCTAAAACCTGAATTCCGAAACCTAATCATTAAACCCTCCAAGCCTTGAGCCCTGGATCCTAATCCTGTCAGCCTTCAGCCCTAAACCTTGAAACCCTAATGGGCTCAACTCAAGGGCGAAGGCCCTGAACCCCTCCCCCCCTAATTCTCAAACAGGTTTAGTATTGGGCAGGGGGGTTTTAGTATTGGGGGGAAGCGATTATTTCTCTAGAAAACGAACGAACTGCTTCGAAATGCAGTCTTCGTCTACAAAATGACATTATTTGTATAGAAAGCCTGAAAGCCAAACAAGCTCAACTTCACCCGACATTCTCGAGCAAAAGGTTGGGGCATGCTTTAGGCTTCTGTGAATTTCGAGTACCGCGATCTTCACAAAGCAGCTTGTACGTATTTTGCTTTTCAGACATCATATACAAGTGGTACTTGTGTAGTATTTCAGTCTTATTGTGTCCTGAAATCTGCTTGTGTTGCAAGTAGTAAGTAGAATTCAGTCAACATGCTAGTTGTACTTAAGTAGTCACTTTAAGTAGTACTCATCTAGGTGATTTTAAGCTATATCCATAATTAGTGTTCTAGGGAACAAATTCACAGAATAATGGTGTACTTGATGCGGAATGAGTATTGCATGAATAGGTGGACAACTAGGATACTTCAGTAGCCTTTCTCGCATAGTGTTTAATCAGTGCTTTTCCTAGCACAAGCACTATGTCATGCCAAGAATATTCTGTGAACAAATAGGCAGCTCGGATAGTATGAATTCAACATGTTGCCCAGTACAGGCACTATGTATCTAGAAAAGCACACTATTTGCCCAGAAAAAAAAGCAAACAATCCCAAACACATTAGTATTATCCGCTCAATATCACGGTGCTGGCTTGTTGGCCTGTGGAGTGGGTGTCCCAACTTTGAGATAACAAACCAAACACGGTGCGACATGAACGCTCCATGCACACAAATCTTCTCCGCCCTTTCACCAAAAAATTTTGGAGAACAGCGGGTCTTGGGGGGGGGGGGAGCCCCCCCGTCCCTGTGACCTACCCTTTGTTGCCCTTGTTTCAGATCACCCAGCTGGAATACTCGTGCGAGAAAGCTTGGGTATGCAATATGTGCTTTAACTAGAAAACTCAAGCAAAAAGCCAAAACCAGAAAGAAAAGGACATCAGGAACTCTTTGAAGTGGCTCATGATCAGCCATTCTCTCGAAACGTTCGTGGACATGTAGGGCTTAGGTGTAGGGTTTAGGGTTTAGGGTTGAGGGTTTAGGGTTTAGGGTTTAGGGTTTAGGGGTTGTTCTTGTTTTGGGAAGTCCCCCGCTTTCCATTCGGCTTGTTGCAAGCCCGGGCCCCAATCGGCATCCGAAGTTCGCCGTGTTATCGCCCAACCAAATACTCGGAGTAAGCATGCACACATACATCTTCTACCATCTCAGCATGACCTAAACCCTAAACCCTAAATCCCGGTGACAGGTGGCATTTCTGCACATTGATCGCCGCGGAGCGGGCCGACTGGGCGCGACGGAGCTTCGCATGGGATTGCTGCTAGGCCCGGGCCTAACCTACTATATGCTTAAGAGCCCCCAAAACCCAACCAAAAAAAAACAATCCCTATACTTCCCTTAAAAGGAATAAGATTATTTTTTTTTTTGGGGGGGTTCTTAAGCAATTAGTAGCAACCCCGTGGCTCAGATCGGAGATGATGGGAGATTTGTGTAGGAAGGATCTTCATGGCAGTTCTCTCAACTAGTGAAGGATGTGTTGGGATGTTCCCCCTTCGACTAACAGTCCTTAGGAGATCGGGATGATAGCAATAGTACCCGTTATGATCATCCCTAGTGAGGACTGTTAGTATGAGGGGGAACATTCCAAAGGATGTTCAACTATAATAGCAGATATTATGTTATAGTATAGTATAACGTAATTTCCTGTAGTATTATATATCTATATATATATATATATATATCATGTATATCTGTATATACATATACCTTTAGACTTTGAATGAAGGATACGCATCCTCGCCCTAGACCCTAAACCCTAAACCCTAAACCCTAAACCCTAAACCCTAAACCCTAAACCCTAAACCCTAAACCCTAAACCCTAAACCCTAAACCCTAAACCGCAAAGAAGGTGCCCGGATCGACTTCCCGGCCGTGACGGGCCTCACCGCCGAGGCCCTGCTCTCCGCGATGGACTCCAGGGGCGCAGGCCGGGAATGGGCGGTCCCCTTTGCGTGCTTGTGTGTTGTTTTTTGCTTGTCCTGTTTATTAAAAAATTCTTGTGTGTGTATCTACATCTAACATATACATATATATATATAGATACAATTTTTAGCTTTTGTGGTCATAGAGTCCCCAACTCGTAGCTTTTACAATGTCGTCCTTGTCGAAAGGGTCCGACTGGAGGGTTTAGGTGTTCTTCTATGGAACGAGGGTTAGGAAGCTTTGGCAGCACTGGCGATTGGAGTGGACCAAAGTTGCCGGAGACAGCAGCGGCAAAGGGGCGAGAAGTTCTTGTAAGCCCCATGCCTCAGCCCGGTCGGCACACCTCCCTTTGCAGCTTGGCAGTCGGGGGCTTTAAACGCAGTCCAACTTGACTGAAATGATAGACAGACATGCCTCAACCGGCCGCGGCCCCTTTGCATGAAACCTCAAACCACAAGCCGCCCGGGTGCTACGAGGTTTCGTGACTGCGCAAGATCTCGCAGCCTGCCGTCCGGGCCTTACCCTACGAGCGGGAGCAGATGCCGAAAGATACCAGAAGGGTTTAGGGGTTCAGGGTTTAGGGTTTAGGCACGGTTTAGGCCTTCTTGGTTCAACGAATCTTGCGACCAAACCAACACCGGATTGGCTCGGGATTCTCGAAACGTTGTGTTTGTGCCTGTTGTGTTCGTGCTTGTTGTGTTCGTGCTTGTTGTGTTTGTGTTTGTTGTGCTTGTGCTTGTTGGGTTGGGCTTGTGCTTGTTGCGCTTGTGCTACTTGTGCTTGTTGGGCTTGTGCTTTTTGCGCTTGTGCTACTTGTGCTTGTCCTTGTTGCGCTGTGCTTGTTGTGCTTTTGAGTGTTGTGCTTGTGCTTGTTGCGTGTTGTGCTTGTTGTGTGTAGTGTTGTGTGTTGTGCGCGTTGTGTGTTGTGCGCGTTTGCGCGTTGTGTGTTTTGCGCGTTGTGTGTGGTGTGCGTTGTTGTTTCCGTGGTTGTTGTTTGTGCGGTTGTTGTTTCTGTGGTTGTTGTTTCTGTGGTCTGTATTTGTTGTTTCTGTGGTTGTTGCGCGCAACGTGAGATCACCTGGTTTTTTTTCTTGCATCCTTTCCCGCAGTGTGTGAATGAGATGGTGTGTGGCTCTACGAGCACAACGGAGGCCACCATGATAAAGGGCGCGAACAATGCTTCGTCACTTCCGTGACAAAATCTTGGGTTTATTTGTAGGGGGTTAGGGTCTGTGTACAGAGGTTTGCGAATTAGGAACAGCACCTTTGCTGTGTCTGATTACATGTTTATTTTGTATGTATATCAACTGTGTATCCATACATGTATTGTTTTGGTGCACACAAATACACTGTATTTGGTTAGCTCGTTCTTTCTTTGCATCTGCTTTGTATCTCTACATGTATCTGTGTGTTCTGTGTTTGTTTCCTTCTTGTGTCTGTTGTCATGCTTCCTTGCGCGTTCCTGTGCATACGAGGTTATAGTCAACAAGCCGTACGCCCAATTCGTAAGTCTTACTTTTCGTAAGTCTTACTTTATATGTGTAATAGTGCGATAGGATTCCAGCCTTTCTCAGCATTTTTTTGCCGATGCAGATCCTACCTCCTTGCTGCAGTCTCTCACTGTATACATTATATGATGCATGCATGTTGTTGCGTTCTGGCATATACCAAGAAGTCGATGTGAATTTATGTCTACATGTACGTAAGCAAGCTACTACAAACAGCAAACAAATGCAGAAGCGGCAAAAGGATGCGTTCAAAATAGTAAGAAGCACGTACATATATGTAGATACATACATGTGTTTGCTTATTCCCAAACATGCTTTCCCTAAGCCTAAGCCCCCAAACCCCAAAACCCAAAACCCTAAACCCTAAACCCTAAACCCTCTAAGCGTTTCTTGCGCTGGAGGCCCAGGAATTTGGCAGGAGTTCGGCGCCACAGCGATCCTGGCCATGGAGAAGCTCCGGGCATCGTCCTCGGGAAGCCATGCAAGGATTTCGTTATTCTGGCTGCTCTTGTGTGTAGGGTTTAGGGTTTAGGGTTTAGGGTTTAGGGTTTAGGGTTTAGGGTTTAGGGTTTAGGGTTTAGGGTTTAGGGTTTAGGGTTTAGGGTGCCAAAAACCGCAAGAGAAGTGCAGGCTTTGCCCTGGGAAGCTGCGGGCGGCCGCACACAGGCTGCGGCAAAGCCATCCTGTGCAAACTCAACATTGAAAATTCGCGAGTTTCCTCAACCCGAAGAAACCCTAAACCCTAAACCCTAAACCCTAAACCCGAAACCCTAAGCCCCAAACCCTAAACCCCATCTAAGGGCTTCAGCTCAGGATCTCCTTTTGCGATGCCGTGCCAAGAGTTTGCTGACTGTCTCGGCTGCTGCGCTGGCTCAAGGGCATTGTATTGCTCGCAATCCGGAGCATCGACACGAGACTCAGGCGCACGAACTGCTGAGAGAAGTCTGGGACGGTTCAGTATCCAGGGCCCGATATACATATTAGTTTTCATACATATACGCATCTTCGCATAGATGTATCTGTATAGACCAGCTTCTATATGAAAAGCAACGAATACATCAACAATTAAGCAAATTTGCACACACAGAGAGATGTGGTGCCCCCCCCAGATATCTACTTCTTTTGGCCGTTAGCTTAGGTTTAGAGGGTCAAGAGCGGGCTGGGGGTGCCGTTTATATTGGCTTCTTAGACGGACGCCGAATCTATAAGGACTTTGATGCTCTTAGGCGGCTACGGGTTGTATGTGACAGGCGTGAACAGTTTGGTTGACACATCTGGAGGCCCAGTATATGTCCCACAGAATGTATCTTCATAGAAGCTGGTAGTCTGGTAGTACTGTACTGAACATTTTTGAGCCGGCGCCAAAGTAGCATCGGCGCTCACTATCGTATGTTCTTAGTTGGGCACACTAATGCATGTAAGAACATGGTTCATAAGTTCTACCGCGGAGTTCGTTTATTGACATACAGTATGTTTAAATTCAAGGTCGGTTGTTATCATAACTCAAGTACTGGAAGAGCAATTTGCCCCTGATGCAAACTGTTGCGTTGAATCGACGGTTGCCGAATCTGGAATGTTTGGTACTAAAATTATGGAACTTTGGAATTTGGAAATTTGGACTTTGCTCCATCTAATTCATGCTATGATGCAAAAGGTGGGATACATGGGGGGCGGGGTAGCATACATATGTACGTGTGTGTATATATATGTATATATATAAATAATATTATATATATGTACATATATACATATATATATGTTGCATATAGTACTTGATCTATGTGTAACGTAACTTGCTTACGTTTTGTTGGTCGAAGCGGTGCCGGTGAGTCGAACTTGCCATGCTGGGCAGGTTGTCAGTATGGCTACGACCGTGGCACTGCGCTTGAACGCTGCTGATGCAGCAGCTGGGCTGCAAGCAGCGGCCAGGTTTAGGGTTTAGGGTTTAGGGTTTAGGGTTTAGGGTTTAGGGTTTAGGGTTTAGGGTTTAGGGTTTAGGGTTTAGGGTCTAGGGTTTAGGGTTAGGGTTTAGGGTTCCAGGAAGGCACGTCGTAACAGATCTCTGATGAGTCCTCTACTGCAAGAATCCTAAACCCTAAGGCCCGAGGCTCCCCTAAACCATCCTAAGCTATGCTGAAGGTCCTGTAGCCCCTACATCTCCCAAGAAGACATGTCACAGAGATACTTGGCACACCGTTGTGAGAACTCCGCCGCCGGCCTTTCAGGTTCCCCACGTGAAAAAGGACAGCCTGATCTCCATTGGTGAGGACTGGGGGTGTCGGGTTTAGTTCTTAGGGTTTAGGGTTTAGGGTTTAGGGTTTAGGGTTTAGGGTTTAGGGATGCCCAAAATCGCAAGAATCAGAGCAGACGTCGGCATTCAAACCCTTGCAGGCATTGGGAGACTGGAGCTGTCAAGGGGCCAAAAAGTTAACAGGCTGTCAGGAGCCGCTATAGTAAGTGGTGCTGGTCTCAGCTTTTCTCGAAGTGGCGTTGACGGTAGATGGTCATTGATAATAGGTGCGGGGGCCGGGGTGGGGTGGGGGGTGTGCTCATTCATTTGTTGACACAGGAAGACACCGATGCCGGCAGTCCGCTATCAAGCAGTGAGAACGAGTCCGAGGCAGGCATATCGTAGACCACGAAGCACAACACGCCACAAACTTCGGACCCCAGCAAATCCCCATAGCTCTGTAGGCCCTCAACCTAACTTCCTAAACCGTTGCGTCAAGGTGTCGCCGTTTTCCCGGCAGTCCACGTTCTCGCCGCTCAAGGCAGTATCCCCGAAACCGTTTAGGCTTCAGAGTTGAAAGCTCAACTCAGGCACTATCGGTCACTATCGGTGGTTTGGAGTCCGAGGTTCACAGAAATTCTAAGCATCTCGGTTTCGGAAACTGAGACCATGGTGATTCAGAAGCTCGTGCGGTTCTGTCGGAAAGCAGGCCTTCCCTCCTTCTCTGAATCCCAAACCCCTTAGAAATCGAACTTCCGAAGCACAGCGCTGATCTCAAGGCACGTGTTTGTGCATATTTCTGTATAATAAGACGATTATCGTGAAGGCCCGCGATGAGTCCGCGAATCTAGAGCAGTCTGTGGACGAAGCTGCGTTACCCCATGCCCCCAAGTCCAGCAAAGCGGAAAACGGCGTGCGGAATGGCCGAGTTCCATGCTTCTTCCTGCGAATGTGGATTCCATGTCAACTCCTTCACCCTAAACCCTAAACCCTAAACCCTAAGCCCTAAGCCCTAAAACGATCCTAAAACGAAACATTCAGGTGTGGCAAACTCTCCTTGATAGTGTGTGCTGTTTCTGTGGATCCAAACATCCACAGAAGTAGCCCCTCTCGAATGAAGGTCTATCTGCCTCGCCTTGTTTGAGGTTGCCGTTGCTCCCGAACCCTAAACCCAAAACCCTAAACACTAAACCCTTTAAACCCTAAACCCTAAATCCTATAAGCCATAAGCCCTAAACCCCGAATCGGGATCGTTTCCGAATCATGGTCCGCCTCCTACCCCGCCTTTTCTTGCAGGCGGATGCCCCCATCTTCACTCCAAACGTGAAGGTGGTGCCTGAGGCCGTGCTTTCACTGCTAATCTGTACTAAGCTTGAGTCTGCTTCGGGTTCAAAAAAGGGATGCACAAGTTGACAAGGGATTGCCCTTATAGGGATTGCCTTCACGGGCATCAGTCGCGGCATAAGTCCTTTGAGAAAATCTAAGGTTGCGGGGTGAACAGGGGTAGGTTTGAAACACAATTCTGAACTTTTGCTTACCCTGAATCCCCTACATAACGCTTGCAAAGCATAAAAATTGAAAATGTTATACCCTGAATCCCCTACCCTAAACCCTAAACCCTTCGTAATCCTTACCTATAAAGCCAAAAAACATCCGTTTTTGTAGGCCCCTCCACCCCCCAAACCGACCCCAGTGAAGTCGCGCAGGATCAGGAGGCCATCTGCAAAGCCGTGGCCGATGCAGCGAGGATCGCTCCTGGCTTAAGCAGAGGGCCCTGGGGATGGTCCCCCCCTATATGAACAGTCCTTAATAGGGATTAGTTATAGTAGGGATGGTAGTAGGGGGTACTATGAATCCCTATGAAGGACTGTAGGGGATACTAACAGTCCGCAATGGGGTTTCTAGTAGGGATGATGATAGGGGGTACTATAAATCCCTGAGAAGGACGGGGGACATCCCAGGAGGGACCCATGGTGCTCGACAGTTCGGGCTTCAGGGCTTCGCGGTTTAGGGCCTTCAGGGCTTGGGGTTCGTGAGTCGGGGCTGCTCATGCTGATAGCCTTAGGGTTTCTTCGGGGTTTAGGGTTTAGGGTTTAGGGTTTAGGGTTTAGGGTTTAAGGGTTTAGGGTTTAGGGTTTAGGGTTTAGGGCTTCTCACGGGGCCGAAATCTTTTGACATGCCAGGGCAGCTGCGACCGCAACGTTTCGGCCGCCTCCCCCGCAGGAGCTGCCCAATTAGCTAAGCAAAGCAGCAGACTAAGCACACAATGCTAGAGAGCTGCATCTTGCGGATCTACTTTGGTATGACCATTTAGTAGTATGAGAAAATACAATGTTAGCCGGTATAGCATTGTGAACAAGGATACCACTGCCACTTCTTTTCCATGAGCCGAATAAGCAGTTTATGCCGACTTGCTGGGATATGCTGGGGTCAGAAAAGATTGGACAACCATCCCGAAAAACATGAAGCCTACATCCTTCCAAACCTGAAGAACTCCTGATGCCAGGAGCCAGCACCTCTCTTCATTTGCTCGGAGCTGCCTCCTCCAGTCAAAGTGTACACTCCACTGCCCACGCGCATGCTGGATCCATATCTCCCTGCTACTTGGACGTGTTGAGGGAACCCTAAACCCTAAACCCTAAACCCTAAACCCTAAACCCTAAACCCTAAACCCTAAAAGGGCTAGGCTTAGGATCCTTGTCCTCTTTCGGAGTCAGCTCTTTGTAGTCCACAACCGACTATGGGGAAGGGGTTCTCCAAATTGACCGTTCAAGTTTTAGGGGTTCAGGGTTCACAGGGCTCAAGCAACCCCCCCCCCTCCCCTCCCTTATAGCAGGCCTGAACCCTAAACCCTAAACTAAACCCCTTGTTTCCCAGGCGCCTCAAAAAGAGGGCAACCTATGGCTCGACCCGTACATCAAAGTCCCTACCCTCCCATTGCAACATGCAATGAGTTCCAAGAAGGGTCCATGATTTCACGAATTGGCCACCGCCGGGGAATTGGGATTGCAACTCGAAACCCTAAACCCTAGACCCTAAACCCTAACCCTTACTGGTACCGATGGGCGAGTGGAAGAGATTCTGTACTCATCGCTAGATCGCTCGTTCCCAATCTGGGGGGAGCCCCTTTTTTCAAGCCACCAACTAGTCAAGTTCACATATTAGGAGCCGCCCCCCAAAGGGGTCACCCTTGTAAGTTTTTTTCAAACCACATTACAGGCCCCTTGTACCGAAATTTCCTCCCGCACTCCATCAAGCACCCGTGGTGAAGAACCGAGCCCCGAAACCTAAAACAGCCTACAAAGCCAGGAGCCTAAAGCCCAAAGTAACCAACAAGCCTCTAAACCCGAAACCCTAAACCCTAAACCCTAATTAAACCCTACAAGTCCCAGGAATAGCCGTGACAAGAAATGCACAAAAGAAGCCAGACTCCATACATTTTTGTATATATATATATATTATACACCTGATGCAGTCCCTGTACCTAAATAGCCCCTAGATATCCCCTAAGGTCCCTTATAAGGGTCCCCCCAAGACATCTGTAAGCCCTAGAAGAGCCCTTAAGGCGAAGAAGCGGCCCGCCTTTGCCACCGAGTTGGGACTTCCAGAGTGTGCCGAGTGGCTGGGCAGGCGGTTTAGGGTTTAGGGTTTAGGGTTTAGGGTTTAGGGTTAAGGGTTTCGGGTTTAGGGTTTAGGGTTTAGGGTCTCGTCTGATCTCCGCTGTTCTCGAAAGTGGTCGTTTGTTGCAGTAGGTTTTATAAGTTGGAGTTTAGGGTTTGGGCATCTTGCTGGCTCTTTTTACAGGCATGTGTTAAGGATGTGTGCTCGGATGCCCAGACGAGCTTTTGATCAGTCGTTTTTTATCATTCTGTGCTCAGTGGGGAAGGCAACTCAAACCCGAGGTTGCGGGTGTGAAGCCTGTTGTAACACGCAGGGTTCCTGTACAGACCAGGCCCCTGTGGGTTTAGGGTTTAGGGTTTCAGGGTTTTAGGATTTTAGGGTTTCAGGTTTTTCAGATTTTAGGGTTTTAGGCTTTAGGGTTTAGGGCCCTTGGGGCCAAACATGCCCTATCCTAACACCACCTTGGAGCTTACCTCTGTCATCAGGGTTTAGGGTTTAGGGTCTAGGGTTTAGGGTTTAGGGTTTTAGGATCTTAGGGTTTAGGGTTTAGGGTTTTTGTGTGCTTTCTTGATGTCTGTTGCTCTATCGGTAAGAAGAGTTGGCAGCTCAGGGCTCTTGTGGCTTAGGGAGTGGTGACCGTTCTACGCGCTTACCTGCGGTTGGACGTAATGAGGGAATTTGGTGCCCCCCCCCCCCCTCCCAAATGTGGGAGTGGCAAAACAAGAAACCCCCAAGTGTGAAAATAGTGCACCAAGAAAAAACAAGCCGACCGGAAAATCCCGGTAAGGGGGGGGGGTGGGGGTAGATTCGAGGGGTGGGTGGAGTGGGGGGGGGGGGGCTACCCATTCCCTGTAAGAAGGTGGGGCAGGCCTCAATCCCAGGAGAAATCCACCACCCAAATTTCTGGTCGTGTTGTCAAACGAGGGGCTCAAGACAGAGGACTGCTAGCATGCATGACAAAGCAACAATGAGAATAACAGTGAGAAGGCTGACGGCACCGACAAACCACATCGGCTAACTTGTTTTCATAATTGCTCAGATAAGGTTATACATATATATATATATATATTTATGTCGTGATGATGATGATGATGTTGATGATGATGCTGATGATGACCCTAAACCCAGACCCTAAACCGTAAAACCGCGAGAAGAGGCAAAGGAAGGATCTTTTCTTGTGTCGAAGCCGAGGTGCGTCGGCTGGGAACCTGCGCTGGTCCGACCAGTGGACCTCCTCACCTTCGGGCAGGTTTGAGGGGCCTAGGGTTTAGGGTTTGGGGTTTAGGGTTTCGGGTCCCCTGTACCCTCCGAATACGGTGGCAAGCAAATCGATTGGTGGCAGCAGATCTCACACGAGTCGCTGCACACTACTGGCCAAGCCAGTTGACGGCAGGGATCCACAGTTCGACGTTTTCCAGATCTACCAAGGGTCTGAGATGATCTTACTTCAGCTGAAAGCTGAAGATTGTCCCTCCCCGAATGCTCCGGATTACCATGCGAGGCTGCAGCCGGCTGTTGGGGGTTTCAAGGGCTGTTAGCCAGTTTTTGCAATTTTGTTTTGCGTGCTGGTGCGAGCAGGCCGAGACTTTTTCTCTGGTACACAAATATATGTGTGTGTATAGTTTGCAGGGCAGCGATGAAGACTGGGGCCTGCGAGCGCTGCACGCCGACGCGTCAGTGCGCAAGACCTGTCGACACCAGAAAGTGAGGAGGCAGGGAGTCTCCCCGCCAGCTTGCCACGTAAAGAGACTGGGAATGCGAGTTGGTTATTTTACCAGAGGCAATGCTGGCGCAGTGACAAGCGCTACTGACCCTTATTCTCGTTGCGTCTATCTGGACGCATCGAGGCCAAATGGGGCGACCACGTGTCCCCCAAACGCCCACAGTAGGGCAGTCCTCCCTACACTGTTTGCTTGACAGGATTAGGGGTATGCTGTTCTTGGCAACCCCATAAGCCCTTGTTCTTGTGACTTGTGAGGACTCAAAGACAGCATTGAATCATTGTCGTCCTGGCTGCCGAATGGCAGACGCAGGAACCATGTATTAGGGCCTCAGTTTGATCATGCCAAGCCCATCAATGAGTTGGATGCTTAGGGTTGCTTTGAAAAAATTGAGCTTTTCTCGGGATTCCTGGCATTGTTGGGCCTGGCTGAGATCTGGCATGTGGCAATCTTCGCTCTAAAACCGTTAAGCCTGAGAATACCTTGCCCTGCTGCCGTGTGTGCCGACGTAGGCCAAACATGCGTCAAAGACTTGGAAAAAGAATGGGCGTGAGGCGCACCCGGCCCGACAATGAATCCTATACTCAGTAGCTGAATGAGAACACTTTACACTTTTTGGGATGCTACAGTCCCATATACAACTGAAAGTGTACGCTTGTTTGGGGCTTATGAACTCAGCAACTAGGTATATAGTAAGCCTGCAAGCCCGAAGCCGTAATGTTAGAGGGGCGGGGCAAAGTCCGGCCAACTAAGCGGCCCACTTGGAACCTTCATGGTTTCGGGTTTAGGGTTTAGGGTTTCCGGGTTTAGGGTCTAGGGTTTGGGGTTTAGGATGGGGTAGTTCATTTCTATGCAGTACAAAGGGTTAGCCTTTAGTTCTCTCTGAGCAAATTGGTCGAGTTGTACGAGAACTCTTGTCTAGGTAGGTATAGTCCATTTGTTGTTCTTTTCTAAAACAGGCCACATGTTTTGGGGACTACAAAATGTTCGATCTCCCATGTAGGGTTTAAGGAGAGTCTTGTGTGGTGGGTAGTATACATGGATTCCAAGGGCTTCCAGGTCACAGGGCTCAGGACAAGTAGAATTTAGACACCCTAAACACTAAACCCTAAACCCTAAACCCTAAACCCTAAACCCTAAACCCTAAACCTGACAAGCCATGCCCTGCAGGCTTTTCAGGAGGCGGCACAGGATGGCAGGCTACACTGGACGGGCTTTGAGGCCATCTTTTTCTTGGGCTTAGGTGGGTGAGCTTGTTGAGGTTTAGGGTTTAGGGTTTAGGGTCTAGGGTCTAGGGTTTAGGGTCTAGGGTCTAGGGTTTAGGGTTGCCCTTGTTTGTGGAGTGTTTTGGGGTTAAGGTTGGGGGCGTCGGGGCATTTTGTGGGTTTTTGCTCAAGCACTCAGGTGTATGGCTTTCTTGGGTGGGGTGTGATATTGGGCTCTTTTGCAAACTTGTCAGCTGATTGTGGTTTTTTGGGGAAGGGAGATATGGTGCTGCCTGAAGAACCCAGCATAGAATTCGGATTTTCCTGGAACTTGGAGCGATCAGTCGCTTGGTTCAGGTTTGGCTCCTTTTTTGCGGTTGCCTGGCCTCCTAAACCCTAAACCCTAAACCCTAAACCCTAAACCCTAAACCCTAAACCCTAAACCCTAAACCCTAAACCCTAAACCCTAAACCCCCAAACCCCCAAACCCCCTAAACCCTAAACCCGGAGTTCAAGCATCTGCTGCAGGGCCTTCTTTGCAGCCGCCTGCGTGGGCTTCCGAAGCCGGAGGCGCAACAACTGACGCCCTCAGGCAACGCCTGTATTCAAATATTATAAAAAGACTATAGTATACCATAATATAGTACAAAAACCTATACTTTTACGATGATTTACTGTAATATTTCATAATATACTATAATATACTATAATATACTATAATATACTATAATATACTATAATATACTATAATATACTATAATATACTGCATGCCTAGGGCTTAGTTTGGTAAGGTTGGGAGGTAGCATTATTAGTGGGGCTAGCCGTCTGTTGTCAGGGTTGTCCATGAATCCTCTTCTTTGTTTCGTAGCCCTGGGGCCAAGGCTCAGCAAGTCTTTGCCGGAATGGCGGAATCGGATGCAACCGGCACCCTGAGTGTGCCTGAGCCCTAGACGCAAACGAGAGGCATCGGCATGTGCTCGGGCACTCGCGGGTCGTTGTTAGTGCATGATCCTTCAGCTGCATTTGGACCGTCAGCAGCATCAGCAATCAGGGCCACAGTCGCTCCGAACTTACGTAGCCGGGCTACCAATCTCGAAAGCGCGCATCTGCTGCACCCCCCCCCCTCCATTCTCTCCTCCGGAAAACCGTGACACAACATTTTTCAGAGGGTGCTTTTGGAACCCTCTGCGAGGTCGTACTTTTATTGTTGAACCCTCCAAAGCCGACGGTTTCTGCACGAGACCTGGGAGCCCGCCCAGGACCGAGGTTAGAGCGATGTGGACAACGGAATGCGCATGGCACGGCGGAGCATGCGGCCTCGAAGCATCTCGAAGCCGAAAGCGAAGCTTCGCTAGGAGCGCACGGGACTGTGGCGGGAGCTGGGATCATCAATTCTGCACGTCCTGAGCAGTCTGGGCGCGGACTGCAGGCGAGAGTGATGTCGAATTGAAAATCCGAAGTCGTACCAGCTTGCAGCAGAGCAAATCGAGGCTTCGAGTTGGCGAAAGCGCTGTGCACGTCAATGAGCAAGATGTCGGGTCGTGGCAAAGCCACGTGCTTTCCCCTCAGCGAAAGTTGTGAAACGGTGCGAGCAGTGCTTTGGGAATGCATATGTTGGCCGTTTTTCACGATTTGACGATGAACTCGCAATAAGGAAGGAGACACTTAAGCTTGAGTTTCTGCCCACGAAGATAAGCCTACATTTTCTCACGTTAACGTTGTAGACTCAGACCAGAATGTTGAGTTCTACAAGTCCCACAACACACTCAACGGCAATGTCAGGAGCCGAGCAACGTGGGAGAAGGCGACGGAGGACTCTACATTTTTTTCGGAATGACTACACGGACCCCCCCTTCATGCACACACACACACACACACACCCAAACACTGAAATCCCAAGCCATCTGGCCCTAAACCCTAAACCCTAAACTAAACCCCAAACCCCAAACCCCAGACCCCAAACCCCAAACCCTAAACCCTAAACCCTAAACCCCAAACCCTAAACCCTAAACCCTAAACCCTTGTTTTCGCGCTTTTGGGAGGAGGTCCCGAGCCTGGATGCAAAGCTCACCTAGCTCGCAGTTCTGCTGCGTGCTTGCCTCACTCCGTCTCGAACCCCATAGAAATACTTATATCTATATATATATATATGTATATATATATACATATATTTATATTTTTAGTTCATATATACATATATATATATATATGTATATCTATATTTATATTTATATTTATAGTCTATATATATATATTTTTTCTTTATTTATTTTTTATATTTATGTTTATATTTATATTTGTATTTATATTTATATTTATATCTTTTATTTGTATTTATATTTACATTCATATTTAGGTATGTATATATATATATATGTGTGTGTGTGAATAGAAAGGATGGTAAATTAGACCACTGACCAATGCCCTTCACACCACGCAAAAGCCTAAAGACCGCTTGAGACGCCATGTCAACATGTTTAGGAAAGGAGGGCCTTCGTCAGGAGCGTCTCCCCACAATTTTCTGGGTGTCCACGGTGCTAACACGCCCAAGTTGCACAGTGCGACTGGCCACCCGACCTCATTACCAGCCTCGCTATTGAACTCCTTTGAGTTCTGGATCCATCTATAGCCTGTGAAACCTCGACGCCTGTCAAGTTTTCAAGCCCTCGAATTGTTATACACCTGAAAGCCGTACAATGATTGGTTCAGAGGACCTTCGCAAGTTCAGACGGAGCTCTCGTTAACGCATCGGGCGCCAGCGCTTGTCGCTACGCGGCCCACGCCCTGTCGCAGAGGGCTCCAATCTCCAACGACAAAGTACCTGGCATTAAATTACTTGGAGCCCAGTGGCACCCTTTACCCTTTTTTTGGTTATGGGTTCCCTTAGAAAGTAACCACCCCAAAAAGGGTGCCCTTATTATACTCGTAATATGGTTACTGGTCTACTAAGAATATGAGTTGAAGTTGAACCTCGAATTTCTGAGGCTCATGAAGTCCCTGTACGGGAACAAGGGAAGCCGGGGAATCAGCAGATTTAGTGTTTAGGTTTCCTAAGTCCTCTACATAGCAGCGACAAGGTCACGGGGCTTTAGGCTTTCAGATAGGAGTTTAGGGGTTTTGGGGTGGTAGGATGGGGTTGCTGGGCCGGGGGTGCAATTTATAGGGTTCTCCCAAGATGTTTAGCTGTTTGGAGGGCCTGAGCTTCGGAGATACCCTAAACCCTAAACCCCAAACCCTAAACCCTAAACCCCAAACCCTAAACCCTAAACCCTAAACCCTAAACCCTAAACCCTAAACCCTAAACCCTAAACCCTAAACCCTAAACCCT